TCTCTCTCTCTCTCTCTCTCTCTCTCTCACACACACACACACACACACACACACATACATACATAAACACATATACACACAGAGGAAGCCTACTGCTCATTGCCATGGCCACAAAATCGTTTGGGCCTAAAGAAAACCCTAGTTTCTTCAGAACAGCTCAGGAGGAAGCTTTGTCTTCAAATATATCAAGTCAAAGCAGTAGAGGAAAATGAATGTAAAGCAAACTGCTTGGGAAGCAATAATATCGGGAATGAGAAAGGGAAGGAAGGAGTCAGGCATATCAAAAGTCACAGACATTGACTTAAAAAGCAAACCCAATTCCTGCACATTAAATTCTACTTTAACGTAGACATGAATGAAAAAGGAAATAGTTTAAATGCGGTGGGACTGGATAGTGTCCACATGTGATCCAAACCCAGCATACATTAAGCATGGGACATTGTGTGCATATGTTTGTGTGCATGTGTATAAAAGAAAGCAAACTGTGTTGGATTTGAAACACACACACACATAGACACAGACACACACACACACACACTCCACTCCTTTATGTCTCAGGGCACAATACAAATTGTTTTTCAAGACCTGTAAGATGAACTCAGCCCAGAGACAGGGTATTGGCTATGCAACTGCTCTTGGCCTGAAGTGTCAGTCTATCGAGGCTGCTATAACAAAATACCTTACATGGGGTAAGTTACAAACAACAAAAATTTAGTGCTCATATTTCTGGTTGCTGAGAAGTCTGAAGTCAAGGCATCCATCTGTTTGGAGTCCTTTGAGAGCGTGTTCTCTGCTTCACCGAGGGCATCTTACAAAAGGAGCCAACAAGTTTCCTCAGGCCCCTTTTACTAAGGCATAAATCTATTCATGAGGATTCTAATCACCTCCTAAAATGCTCTCTAGGGTTTTCAACATTTCCATTTGGGGAAAACACAGACATTCAGTTATAACTTCAGATTCCTCTGAACCACAGCCAAGTCCATCTTACGCTCAATTTCCCAACAATTGTTTTCCTGTTGGTAGTGTTAAAATTCATCAGCAAAGTGAAGTAACCAGGCCCAAAGAAACATAGGTCCCATGGTTTCCCTTATTTCCAATAACTAGTATATGTCTAGGACAAGCAGAACGCTATGTACATATGACCATATAAGATGATGTTGAGTGAAATGAACCCCAAGATAGGGACACAAGTCGTTTTTCTTTCTTGCTCTTGTTTTTAACGTATTTAAAATGTACTATGTGATTTTTTTTGTTTCTCTTGTATGTTCTTCCCCCACAGTATAACCCCTGTTTTCACTGTATTTGACATCTGTGTCCTGCATCTAATTTGGGAAGGGAAGGGAAGTAACAAAATGCTGAAATAAGGCTACAGGTTGATCCATTGTAACAATGAGATGTACAAGAAACTATGTTGAAAACAAACTTTATAACTGGGGGTGGGGGTGGGAGGGAAGAGTTGGGGAGGTGGGGAAGGAATGGATGATAGGGGAAACACAAAGGAGGAGGTAACAATGCTTGAGAGGAAATGGACTCATTACCTTACTCATGTAACTGTAACCCCTCTGTACAGTATTTTTACAATAAAAAAATTAAAAAAAAATTCATCAGCAATCTAATGAATCTGCAATAAGACCAGAAGAATTAGAACTTCAAAGTATATCACATATATTATAACAAAAACATATATTTAATAATATAATATATAATAAATATATAAGTATATATACAAAAACATAAGTATATCTTAAAGAAAAATAGTGCTATTTATGAAATGTCTATATGTGACTGATTCTCCAGTGTTCTAGCAGTCACATTTGACTCTGTGAGCTTCATAATTAATCATCATCATCCTTTTAAAATGAAAACATCAGGGCATTGAGTAGCTTATTCGAGGTCACTCAGCTCATAATCAGCAGACTGGATAAAAAATTAGGATCTGTGTTTGTACCAGATTTTCTGCACAAATGTATCAGTGATGAGAATTTTTCCAGTTACTTTTACACTGATCTGTTTCATCTTAAGACACAGAACCACTGTGTCTTAAGATCTTGCCCAGCATTGGAAATACCTCATCTTTAGGAATTTATTTGCTCAAGCAGTTTCTATCCTCTCATTTAATTCTCACAATGTTCCCCCATTTTATAAATAATAAAAATTTAAACACAAAGATGCTAAGTGTTTTCCATAAAGAAACTAATAAATGTGTGAGCAAGCCTTTAAACAGGAATCTTCTTACTCTCAATGCAATATTTTAATACGCAGGTGGGAGCTCGCCTAAGACTGTGGGGATTAGTGAACAAAAGCTTCAGAGAAAAACAGTGTAATTAAAGGGGAAAAAAGGTTTAAAACGAATTCCAAAAGGTTATTCACCATCCTCAAGCCACCTGCCTGCCAAATAACCAACACCAGCTTTACTGTGGCCTCTTGGCCTTTTAAGAACATCAATAAAAACATTAAATTTTTATATGCTTTAATTTTTTTCATTGTTTCAAAATACTATGGATACTGTTTGCAATTAAATTTATTTTTCTTTATCCTTGTTCCAAATCTAATTACTTTAAACTATGAGTTGAGTTCTGGTGACTCCGCCTGAGATTTGAGGATCATTATTTGAAACCAGCCCCAGAAGGTAAATCTATGAGACCCTTAAATCTCCAATTTACCAGCCAAAAACTGTAAGTGGAGCGGTGACTCAAGTGTAAAATGCTAGTCTTGAGTGGAAAAAGCCAAGTAAGAGCTTGAGGTCCTAAGTTCAAGTCCCACTACTGGCACAAAAGAAAATTAAAATAAGAAAGAATTTACATCTAACCATGTTTAAAAAGCATAGTGATCAAGTCACTGAGCATTTCTGGATCACCACTACATGCTAATACTGTGTGGTGTGTGCTTGAGTTCCAGCAATGAACAAAACAGACCCAAACCAAAAAAAATCTCACCTTTACTTTTCTGCAGTTTGCCAGCCACGCATTTTCTTTTTTTTTTTTTTGGAGGGGGGGTCCAGTCGTGGGGCCTGAACTCTGGGCCTGGGCGCTGTCCCTCAGCTCTTCAGCTCAAGGCTAGCGCTCTACCACTTGAGCAGCAGCGCCACTTCCAGCTTTTTTCTTTTTGCTTATGTGGTGCTGAGGAATCGAATGCAAGGCAAGCGCTCTACCACTGAGCCACCTTTCCAGCCCCCAACACATTTTCATTGTTATGTTTTAGCATATGTGTTTGCCAAAGTGGCAAATAAGTCACTGTTTTTAATAGTTGCATAACATTCTATAGTATAGAATATAGTGTCAGTATATGAGAGTTTATTCAAACGTTTATTGGTTGACATTCCATTTAGGCTTTGTTTGTATTTTAAAAGCAATTGGCATAAGTATTGCATACTCATTTATATCTGCACATATAGACAGTTTATTATTTCTGAAGAAACGTAGTCTAACTTGGGTAACTAAAATGTTATAGACAGAAACATCTTTCCCCAGACCCCACCCATCCATTTTACTAATCCTCCACTCCCCAGGTGAGCTCCGCGGCTCTGGTACTATCCACCTGTGTGGTGCTGACTCCTTGTCAGCTACTCCTTGTCAGCCCTCTGAAACCTGTCTCTGCCCCAAGGCACTTGGTCTCTGTGGCTCCCTACACCGGCAGTCAACAACCAGCCTTTGCCCCAAAGACTTTGAAATCACACTTACCGTGCAAATCTAAGCTCGGTGTAGACCCCAGGGCCTGGTCAGTAACCCTTTGACCTATCTTTGCTCTTTACCATTGCCATCAACTTTGCCTTGGGTATAGGGCTTTTACAGGCCTGATAATGCCTCCTTCAAGACCTGAGTAAGTATATGCAATAGATTATACTGTCATTCTTGAGACAAAATATGTATAATGGAGATGTACACCTACAGGGAGGTGTCACTTCTTGAATAGCACCCCCCACCCGCCTGCCTTCCAGCCTTCCTTCCTTTCTTCCTCTCTTCTCTCCCTCCCTCTCTTTTTTTGCGTACCTTTCCTAATCTAGTGTGGCCCTGAGTCCACCACAATAGAAGGCTCTCTGCTCTTTCCCTCGGCTACTTCCCCTAAGCTGCGGAAACTCTCCTATTTCCTGAAATTTAAATCAGTAGTTACAGTTTCCTATCCCACTTCCCGTCTCCAGCCTCGCTGTCTCCTCTCAGCCTCCTCCAGCCAACCGGGGATCCGATGCTCCAGCCACCGGATCCCCAGCCCTCGGCTGACACGGACTGTGCCCAGACTTGGGGGGGGGTTGTCTTCATGGGGGTGGTCTCCAGTTTAACCCCAGGTGTCTGCGGGCTTCCCATCCTCCTCCCCCTCCACCCCTCACTCCCTCCCGGAGCTGTACGAGGAGGAGCCTAAATGTCTGCTTCACCAGCTGAAAGGGATTGTGGTGCGTAAACAGGATTAACTCTCTCCGCCCCGGTGGTGCAGATTTGCGCAGCGGCCTGCGGGTCGGAGCGAGTGTCCGCAGGGCGCGGCGCGGGGAGCTGGGGGGGATGGGGCGGCCCGCGGCCTCGGAGCTGTCCCCGGGATCAGCTTCCTTGCCCGGTGCAAACGGGGATACCAGCCTCCCCGGCCGCAGCTGCAGAGCCCGGGTGGACGGCGACGATCGCTTCTAGCAGCCGCCTCCCCCTCCCTCCCCACGCGTCCTCTCCGCCCACCGCGCTCCAGCCTCTCCATCGCAGCCCAGCCCGCGCTTGTCACCCGCGCCCTCGGAGCCGCCGTGCCAGTCCCTCGGCCAGCCATGGGGGACCTGCCGGGCATCGTGCGCCTCTCCATCGCGCTGCGCATCCAGCCCAATGATGGCCCGGTCTTCTTCAAGGTAGACGGGCAGCGCTTTGGCCAGAACCGCACCATCAAGCTGCTCACCGGCTCCTCCTACAAGGTGGAGGTCAAGATTAAGCCCACCACGCTGCAGGTCGAGTGAGTGCAGGGCGCGCCGCGGCTGCAGGGAGGTCCTGGAGGGTACGGGTGCAGGTGGTAGCCCACGGGGACACCCTGAGCTTCTCCGGGGCCCCTTGGGTCTCGTGGCGCGCCCAGCAGGGGCCCCGGGTGCGGCTAGGAGGTCGGTTTCCTGTTCCCCCCATCCTCCCCCCCCCCGCCCCCGCCGGTCCTCTCCTGGGCCCCAGGCTGGTATTCCACCATTCTCGCTTCCCTCCACCATCTCAGTGCATCCGTTTAAATCCGCGACAAGAAGCCAGGGTTGGGGTTTAGTTTTTATTTGATTTCTCATAGATTCGCCTTGTGTTCAAGCCTCGGTTTGGAACCTCAGGGAGCCCGGGAGGGGGCAGATGGGAAAAGGCCGGGAGGGGGCTCACCTGCTGCACCCCTCTTCTGCTGGGTTCTGGCATCCCTCTAGGGTCTGCGGGTGAGGCTGAAGGAAGAAGGAAGGCTGGAGAATGAGGTAGAAAAGCATAGGAGGGGGAGAGGAGGGGCCTATCGGAGCTCTCTGGGGGATGCTCCTCATCCCTCCACCGTGGCTTGGTGTCAGGGAACCCCAGGGTTAGAGCAGGAGGCACAAGTTAGAGGGTGCGGTCTCTGCTTAGGCCTAGCTCTAAGGTTTTCCATGATGGCACCTTTCTCCCGACTTGTCTGCTCAGCCTAAGAATATTGCCTAAGAATATTGGGGAGTTATTTGTGGCAGAGATTATCTCCTTCCAGCCACGAAGGAATGATGCAACCAGTAGACCTCTGGAGAGAAAAGTCAGTGTAGAACAGGCCAGTGGCCAATGGAGGAAGAACTCATGGGTGGGTCCTTTATCTCTCTCTATCAAACTACCTCTGGAAGGACACAAAACACTATCTTATCTTCCATATGCTGAGGGACAAGAAGGCTTTAATCTATAAGACACTTTGTGGTCTGTTTTAATGCAGTGAATTTGTGTTAAGCTCTTCGGTGCAAGGATCTGGAACTATACATGAATGATGACTGGTATTCCTGGTCCATCGACTTATCAGCACCCTTACAATTTCATGAACCCCTTGCCTTCACGTTTCCAGATGGTCCCTGTCCCTGGGTTATAATCTAGATTTCCCTTCCCCTGCTTTCCTGGTTACCTTTGCTCCTGATTTGTCAGTTCTACATCCCATATTCTTCTGGTTAGCACTCTGAATGTATAGTTTTGTTAGAAAGCAAATTTAGGCCAGGCGAGGGTGGCTCACGCCTGTAATCCTAGCTAGTCGGGAGGCTGACTGCAGTTCAAAGGAGACAGAGCAAGAAAGTCGGTGAGACTCTTATATCCAATTAACCACCAGAAAACCGGAAGTGGTGCTGTGGCTCAAGTGGTAGAGTGCTAGTCTTGTGCTGAAGAGCTGAGGGACAGCACCCAGACCTAGAATTCAAGACCCATGACCAACAAAAAAGGGGGGGGCAAATTTAAACATGGTTGTTCTGCCTGCAATCCAATCAATAATATATGGCAAGACCTTATCTCCCCAAAAAAATCCAGAAATAAAAATTAGAAGATGAAAACAAAACTAGTTATGCTTTAGGATTTCTCAGCACTATAATCCAATGGTTCTCACACCTGAATATATCATAGAAGCACTGAAGAACTTGTTGGAACTGATGCCTGGGGCCTACCACAGTGCTTTGAGTTTGCTCTGTCTAGGATAGGGCCTAGAGGTTTGTGTCTTAATAGATCCCAAAGTGATGATGATATGGCTGGTCCAGGGACTCTTCATTGAGGACCATTATCCTAACATAAAGGAATGAAGCCAGTGAAAATTTCCATTGGTGAGGCAAGCATGAAGAAAGGCACTCCAAAATATAGGACCCCTGATGACTGGGAAATCAATAGAGATCTAGATCACCTGTTGTTCACCCTATATCTGTGAATCTCCTAGAAAACACTAAAATAAATTTACCAATGCCAAACTATACCCCAGATCAACCAAGTCTGATCTTTTTTTGGAGGGGGGTTACTTACCAGTAAGTTTTTGATAGCTCCATAGATTATTTTAAGGATTTACTAAAGAGAGGAACCACTGGTAGAGCCCCTTATGGCCTTATACAAGTTTTCTGGATGAGAATAATGAGATCATTTCATAGAGGAAGTGGTCTATGGTCATGTGACTAGTCAGATAGAGAATTCTAGTCTACTGAACTTCCATAATACAGTGTCTCCCCCAGTTAGACCCTCTAGGTTTTCTGCCTGGGATTTTGGTCCAGATCAGGAGAGGGTACCAAAGGTAATTCATACTATATATGGTCAACTCAAGTCCATTACAGGAACATTTCCATTGGTGGTGTACTGGTCCCACTGGAACTGAAGTCTAAAGAGCCTGATGGGGACAGAGTCGTCTACACGGGCACGTATGACACAGAAGGAGTAGCCCCAACCAAAAGTGGAGAACGACAGCCCATCCAGATCACCATGCCGGTAAGACCTACTTGGGGGAGGGGGAGCTCAGGAAACTATAGAAAGAGAAATAATCACTATCTCTTTTAAGAAGAGGTGTACTACAGCCAATTACTAAGGGAATTAGGTTGAATTTACTTTTTGAATCTGCTGGGGAGAGTACTAATAGTATGTATAGTACTAATACTATGTAACATGATGACAGACTAACCCTATAGATGCTTACAGACACAAAAGATGGTTTTAAGAGAGACTATAGTAGATATATTACCATTTTTCCTCTTACAATGTGTAATGGAATTTTCCAATAATTGACTCTGAAAAGTTTTTTTAAACCTTTTAATTTTTTAAATTAGGAAACAATGTATAAGAGTTTCATTGTGACATTTCTACACATGTATATAATGCATTTCAATCAATCTCCTTCTATCACTTTCCCTTCCCCAGGTTGGCTTTGAACCAAAATTCTCAGATCTCAACTTCCTGAGTAGCAAGGTTTACAGGCAGGCATGAGCCACCAGTGCCCAGCTGATCAATAGCTTTTATTAAGAATCCTATGTCAGCCAGGCACTGGTGACTCATGCCTGTAATCTTAGCTAGTCAAGAGGCTGAGATATGAGGATCGTGGTTCAAAGCCAGCCCTGGCAGGAAAGTCCGTGAGGTTCTTATCTCCAATAAACCACCAGAAAACTGGAAGTGACCCTGTGGCTCAAGTGATAGATCGCTAGCCTTGAGCTGAAGAGCTGAGGGACAGTGCCCAGGCCCAGAGTTCAAGCCCCATGACGGACAAGAAAATTCTATGTCATCTTTGTACATAGTTGCTCTAAATGTCAACATTATTGAGCCTCTATCATGTTTTTTTCCTCCTCCCCTCATTCCCCTAAATAAACTTAAGAGTCAAGTGTCTCTATACAGTATTTTCACAATAAAAAACTTATAAAAAGAGTTAAGTGTTACATAAATATATAAATTTATGAATATGGGTATGCACAAGTGCATGAATACATATGTCTTAGTTCTAGCTTCCACATATGAGAGAAAACATGTTATTTGCCTTTGAGCTTGGCTTGTCTCACTCAACATAATGTTCTCTAATTCCATCTATTTTCCTGCAAATAACATGATTTGATTCTTTATGTCTACATATTCCATGCCTTCTCTGTCTTCCTTATTCATTCATCTGTTGTTGGCATCTTAGCTTATTTTACCATTTAGTTATTGTCCATAATGTTGCAATACACATATGTATACAGGTATCTCTTGAATAATTGATTTACATTCCTTTAGATACATTCCTAATAGTGATATGATGGAGTCATAAGGTAAATCTATTTCTAGTTTTTGGGGTTTTCTTTGAGGATCCTTCATACTGATTCCATAGTGGTTGCACTAGTTTGCATATCTACTAACAGTATATGAAGGTTCCAGCATGTATTATGGTTTTTGTTCTTGATGATTGCTATTCTGATTGGAGTGAGATAGAATCCTTGTGTTTTGATTTGCTTTTCCTTTATGGCTAAGGATATTGAATATTTCTTCATATCTATTAGCAATTAATATTTTCTTCTTCTTCTGAGAACTGTCTGTCCAATTCACTTGTCCATTTATTTGTGTGTGTGTGTGTGTGTGTGTGCGCGCGCGCGTGTGCATGCTCACACGCACACACATGCATGATTCAGTCCTGAGGCTTAAACTCAAGGCTGGGTGATATCCCTAAGCTATTTTGCTCAAGGTTAGTATACTACTGCTACTTGAGATACAGCTTCATTTCTGGCTTTCCTGCTTGGACTGGCTTTAAATTGCAATCCAGAGATCTCAGCCTCCTGAGTAGCTTGGGTAACAGTTGTGAACCCACCAGTCCCCAGCCACTTATCCATTTACTAATTTATTTATTATTTGCTGAACTCTTTAGCCTCATTTCACAATTCTGTGTATTTGTATGTATGTTTGTATGTATGTATGTATGTGTTGGTTGGTACTAAAGCTTGTGCTTAGGACCTCATGCTGTCACTGGGCTTTTGTATTTCCACTTGAACCTAACTCTAGTTCTGGCTTTATGCTGGCTAACTGGAGATAAATATCTCTTGGATTCATCTCCCTGATTTAATTCTGAACCAAGGTTCTCAGATCTCAGCCTCCTAAGTAGCTACAATTATAGGTATGAGTCATTAGTGCAGCTCCTTTCACAATTCATGTTCTTGCTTTCTGAACAACTGGACTTCTTTTCAGGAAATTATTGCCTGTGCCTATAACATCTAGAGGTTTCTTCCCTCCCACCCTCCCTTTTCCTATGGTAAATTTAATGTTTCAGGCCTTGCTTTGAGCTCTCTGATCCACTGCAAGTTGGTTTTAGTAAAGTATAAGACAGAGAGGTCACATTTCAGTCTGCAAATAGATAACTGGTTTTTCCCAGAACATTTTTGTTAAAGAAGCTATCTTTTCTCCAGCGCATTTTGGTTTGGTTTGGGGTTTTTTTGTTGTTGTTGTTGTTGGGTTTTTTGTTGTTGTTTGTTTTTGTTTTTTATCGGTCCTGGGCCTTGAACTCAGGACCTGGGCTCTGTCCTGAGCCTTTCTGTGCTCAAGGCTAGTGCTCTACCACTTGGGCCACAGAGCCCCTTCCGGCTTTTTCTGAGTAGATTATTGGAGATAAGAGTCTCATGGTCTTTTCTTCTGGGACTGGCTTTGAACTGTGATCCTTAGATCTCAGCCTCCTTAGTAGTTAGGATTGCAGGCATGAGCCACTGGCCCCTGGCTCAATGTATGTTTTTTACTTCTTTGTTGAAAATTATATTGCTGTAGCTGTGTGGTTTTATTCCTATATCTCATGGGGTTTGTTGGGTTTTTTGTTGTTGTTGTTGTTTTTGCTATAACTAGCTCCTTTTGTTACTATGGCTCTGTAGTATAATTTGAAATTTTCTATTTTCATCAGAATTGCTTTTGCTATGTGTAGCTGAATTTTCTATTTCTTGTAAGTACCATGCTAACTGATTGTGCAACTGGAGCTCCGTGATTTTTCTGTTTCTATAAAGAATTATAATGAGACTTTGAAGGGTATTGTATTGAATCTGTGGGTTACTTTTGGAAGTATGACCATTTTCATAATCTAAATTCTACTAGTCTATTTGGATGCCATGGCTCATAACTTTAATCCTAGCTACTCAGGAGGCTGAGATCCAAGAATCAAGCCAGTCCAGGCAGGAAAGTCCTTGAGACTCTTATCTCCAATTAAACACTAAAAAGCCAGAAATGAAGCTGTGGCACAGGTGGTAGAACACTTGCCTTGAGCACAAAAAAATGCTTAAGACAATGCCCAGGCCCTGAGTTGAAGCCCCAGGACCAACAACAACAACAATTCTACTAGTCCATGAGCATGGGAAGTCTTCCATTTTCTGATGTCTTCTTCAATTTCTTTCTTCAAAGTTTTGTAGTTTTCATTGTAGAGATCTTTCACTTCCTTGGCTAAGTTAATTCCTAGGTATTTTATTGTGTTTGAGGCCACTGTGAATGGAATTATTTCCTGATTTCTTTCTTAGGCTGTTCATAGAAATAGAAAATCTACTAATTATTCAGTGTTTGTTTTGTATCCTGCTACATTTCCAAAGGTGCTTATTAGATCTAGAAGTTTTTTGGTAGAGTCTGTATGTACAGAATCATGTCATCTGCAAATAAGGACAATTTAACACATTCATTTCTTATTTGAATCCCTTTTATTTCTCCTCTCATATTGTTCAGGATAGAAATTCTATAAACATGTTACATTAGTGTGAATGAAGTACTCTTGTCTCATCCCTGACATGAGGGAAAATGACTTGTGTGTGTGTGTTTTGTTTTTTGGGTTGTTTTTTGTCGGTCATGGGGCTTGAACTCTGGGCCTGGGTGCTGTCCCTCAGCTCTTCAGCTCAAGGCTAGCGCTCTACCACTTGAGCCATAGCACCACTTCCGGTTTTCTAAAGGTTTATTCAAAATAAGAGGCTGGTTTTGAACTGCAGTTCTCAGATCTCAGCCTCCTGAGTAGCTAGGATTACAGGTGTGAGCCACTGGCACCCAGCAAGGGGGAAAATGATTTGTTTCTTGTATTTAATATGATGTTGGATAAGTTTGTCATATGTAGACTTTATTCAGCTCAAGTACATCCCTTCTATTCCTAATTTCCTCGGTGCTCTTATCATAAAAAGATGTTGAGTTTTGTCAAAGGCTTTTTTTCTGCCAGCTGTGATAATCCTGTGATTTGTTTTTTTGAATCCTTGACCCTGTTTGTGTGATATGTTGCATTTATTGATTGACATATGTTGAACCATCTTTGCATTTCTGGGATTAAACCAGCTTGATCATGGTGTATGGTCTCTCTAATGTGTTATAAAATTCTGTTTGCAAGAAATTTTTTTGTGCTGGTCCTGGGGCTTGCACTCGGGACCTGGGTGCTGTCTCTGTGCTTTTTCTACTCAAGGGTAACACTCTACCACTTGAGTTGCAGCTTTACTTCTAGCTTTTTGAAGTTTAAGCCACAAAACTAGCACACACAAAAAAGAAGAAAAGGAAAGGAAAGGAAAAAAATGTCCACTAGCTTTTACTCCTTATGATTATAAAAACAATGATTATAAAAACAGACACAATGAGAATTGCTCCTAGATCGAAATTAGGAAATACTGTGCCTGCTCTACTCCTATCTTAAACTGGTTGGGCAGTCTGGTTCTAAGACAAGTCTCTTAATCTCACTAAATCTTTGGAGTTTTTTTTTTTATCTATAAAAATGAGATGGCAGAATCTTTTTCTTAGCCATAAAAAAAGGAATAACAGAACCAAGCACAAAATCAAGGTGGAATAATATATATGCAAGTCTTGCAATATGATTGCTATAAAAACACATAGAACTGTACCCAACTATAAATTGCTTCTCCCAGGGGTCTGCCTGGGTAGATTTTCCTTGGAAGGAACAGATGGGTTGGGAAGGAACAGAGTCTGTTCTTCTGTACTTCTGTTCTTTAGAATGCCAGATTTGAGCCTCCCGATCTGTCACTGGA